AAGACTGTAGGTGCCTAGGTCTGCCCCATTCCCACTGGAGATGCACAACATGTATTTCAAACCTATACGCTTTGTGTTATTTTTTTTCAGGGAACACAGGGAACACAAAGGCTCTCCTCCATAATAAGCACAATGCTTGCACCTGTGCAAATACATCCTTCTTTTTGTGCAGTGGGCTCAGAGGGCAAGAGCCATAGAGCTCAAAGCCAGCAGGGTGTAGGTTCTTCCACCCTGCTTCACCTCCATCTACTTGTAGCAAATCTGCCCTTTGCCTAACTTTGAAGTTCTTACAAGCTTGATTGTTAGTAACTGGCCTAGCAATAGTGAAGCCAGACCTCTAGAGCTTATCTTTAGTCATGATCAAGGACATTGTGCAGATGGCATCAAGTGTAGGTACAGGACACTGCAGACTTGTAGTTATCTGTGTCGTCTCAGGAGCAGCATTCAGACTGGAAAGAGAAAAAAACCATAGAGAAATAGTGAAAACCTCCCAGTAGGCTGGGGTGGTAGGGAGTGGGTATGACAAACATACTAGTGAAATCCTCTTTTTATTTGTGTTTATATCAGTGTTTTTTTAATCACTAAAGAAACTGACCTGTTGAAAATACAGAATCTCTGAGGGCAGGAATTTTGAGGCCAAATCCAATTCCCTCTCATCCCTAAAGGTTCCTCACAGCCTTCCTAAAACCCCAGAAACAGATGTAAGTCTTTCCACTGATAGCGATGTATTTTGGATCAGGTGAATTCTTGGCCTAAGGCAGAAAAATGAAGCCACCTTTCTTCTCAGAGACATCCATTTGTTCTGATGCTCTGCACTGTCAGTGAGTATTCCCCCAGCACTGCATGAGGAATACAGAGACCAGAGAAGGGGATATGAAAGCTGTTGGACTTAAGATTCTGAAGTACTGTGGGAAGAGTTAGACTTGGACTGACTGGAAGATTTTCAAAGGACAGCCTGAGAGAAGAGGTGAATTAGGGTGAACTAAGAATTAAGGAAAGAAGAAAGAGAGGGACAGAGGAAGGGCAGGACTTTTGCAACCACGGGACATTGCAAATTAAACCAGGATGAATTGGGATATGCGTCCTGAATAATACTATGTATTACTAAGATTTAACATTGTTCTTTGCCTGAATGACACTTGAAGGAAGGACATTGCCCTGTTGGAGTGAGTCCAGAGAAGGCCACCAAGTTAATTAGAGGGACGAAGCACCTCTCCTGTGAGGAAAACCTGAGATAATTGGGATTGTTCAGCCAGGAGAAGGCTTTGGAGTGACCTAATTGTGGCCTTCCAGCACCTGAAGGGAGCCTACAGGAAAGATGAGGCAAGACTATTTATAAGGGCAGTAATATAGTGACAGAACAAGGGAGATTGGCTTCACACTGAAAGAGAGTAGGTTTACATCAGATATTAGGGAAAACATCCTTATTGTAAGGGTGGTGAAGCACTGGCAGAGGTTGCCCAGAGATGCTGTGGATGCTCCATCCCTGGCAGTGTTCAAGGCCAGGCTGGATGGGGCTCTGAGCAGCCTGGTCTAGTGAAAGGTGTCCCTGCTCATGGCAGGGGGTTGGAACTGGATGCTCTTTAATGTCCCTTCCAACCCAGGCCATTTTATGATTCTATGACACACAACAGGCATTAGGGCCTCACTATTCTTAACACAAAACTAAGTAACAAAAATAACCCACTCTCTCTTTTCCATGTTACATTAGGACTTGGTTTGCTTTTATATTTAGCTCAGAATATTGCTTTGTCTCCTAAAATTCAAGAAGAAACATTGCAGTTAATGAATGAATGAGTGAAATGGAGCAGTGGCCTGTTACTTTCTGTGTTTGAGTTTATTTTAAATCATGATTTCTTTTCCTCTCTGCTTTATGGAAGAGATTAGATTAACCTTGCTTTATTTTACTTACCGTACTTCTTACAACTTTACATCCATCACAGATAGCACTCTAGAATGAAATTCTTTCATTAGCAGCTCTCTGCACACTGACAGGAATGATTTGTGACTTTTTGTGATAATATATCTCAAAAAATAAAGACTAATACGATATTTCTGTCACTTTAGTCAGTCACAGATCTGTCATATGGGAGAGATTATACATGATGGAAAAGCTTACTTACTTATGCATTAAAGGTCACATTCTTCCAGCCATAGCCAAATCACTCAATCATGAATTCTGCATAACAAGAACTGCTGCATTTAAATCAATAAGGACAAGTTTCCAGCAGCTTAAATGAACAGCAGTTTTCCCACTGATCTGACTGATCCATGAAAAATCTCTAAAAACAGTGAGGATGGATATAGGTAACTGCAGTTTGCACCTCTTTTTGTTTACCCCTCTTCTGGTTATGGAAGATGACAGACTGTATTTCCTTGCATGGGATGAGTGAATGCACTGGAGAGCACCTGGAAATACAATCAGTTATTGGCATGTGCTAGCTAAAGGTCTTCCAGAAAAAGTATTTTTTACTCACCTTTGGGATTTTTCAGTGGACAAGGTTTTCCCACAAATTCAGGAAGGGTTTCTCCAGTAAGGATCTCAAAGGAGCACATCAGTATGCTATAAGGCTTCAACGAGGCAGAAGACTTCCTGGAAAACACTTCTTTGATTGGAGAAAAAGTATGTTAATTAATTGAACAGCAAAGTACTATTTGCAGGATTTATTTACCAGGCATGGGAAAGAGTGGACACAAGAAGCCCCAAAACATAAATCTACACAGAGAACTGCTCATTACCTAAAACTCCTGAAGAGAGAAACGTTTGTGCAGCAGGAAGAGTTCTAGTTGTGTGTAGGAGGCCGCTGATCAGCTCCTCACGTCTTTCCAGAATTTCTGCAGGATTCTGGGCAAGTAATTTGCTCTCTCTGTGTATATCTTGTCATCTAGACAATGACAAAATGAGGCCGCCTTGCTACACAGGAGTGCTGTAAGGTGCTCTGATGTCAGATGTCATTCAAGAAGGCTTCACAGCTGGATGTGTCAAAAAGCCCATTAGAACTCACTCTGCTCTGCACAAGCGGCATTAAACTCTTTCAGTGCTGCTCATACCCTATGTCTAGGTAAACGTCCATAATTTAGGACAAATCCTTCTGCTTTAAACTGCTTAATTGCAGAAAGCTTCAAAGAGCTACATTTTTCTATCAGAATGAAGACATTTAGTTTAATATTAACTAGTTGTTAAGTTTAAGTAAAATTGTGTTTTTTCCCCCAAAAATTGACCAGTAAGGAGCTGTCCCTAAATATTAATTTCTAAAACTCTGTGTTCTCACTAAAGATATTTTCTCTCTGAAGCCGAGTTATTTTTCTGTGGTTAATAGCAAAATGTCTCCATTTTACACCAGGAAAATCAAGATAAACTTGACTATCAGCTTGAGTTATTCCATTTTACTAATTTAGACTATTTCATTGCACTTTTTTTCAAATCAAGGACCTCCCTAGCTCTCCTAAGTATATCACATACAGAGGGATTTGTGAATTTCCACAAAGGCTTGTGCATTACCTGCTCCCAATGGATGGGCTGGGAACTGCATCATTGTCCTCACTGCAGTGACAAGACAGTTGGAAGGCTGCTTTAAGCCAAGATAATCTAAGATTGGTCCATGTGTGAAGGGCAGTTTGGGGAAACTGGACTACTTTATTGTAGTCCTTGAGCGATGAGTATTAGTCATCTAGAAACTGCAGCTCCCTAGTTTGAAAAAGTCTTCTGTGACAAGATAGATGCAGTAATTTTAGCCCCTGACACAGTTGTTTATGCCGCTGAAAGATCTTGGGGAAGAAGAAAATCAACTCAAAGCCCTTCCAAGATTTGGGGGCACAAATGATAAAGTTAGGATTATGCATGGCAACCCAGAAAATACAGTCCACAGGAAAGACAATGTTAATAGCATATGACCTTGAGAGTTTTATTTGTTGCCAGCAGGAATTACAGATATGCCAAAAGTGCCCTGTTTGGGGCATCCTCCCAAGGAGATCCTTTCCCTTTACAGAATATACATACCCTGATGTCCATGCTGAGCTGGCTTTTGCCTCCAGGCTGCCTGTGTGATAAACAAATGTCTCCTTATGCCTGGTTTGCCCAAAGGTGTGCCCATACCCTTTGCCACCCTCTCTCACTGTCCTGTTCTCGTCCCTTCGCTCCTGTGTACCAACGGTCATGGGTGTTGGTGACAGCACTGATTTGGGCTGGTTAGGAAGAGACAAGATGTTACCCTATAATCTCAGAGGCCCTTGAAAAGAGTGCTGTGGGTTTTCCCCTCAGCCACTGTGGGCCAAATCCACAGCAGCAGCACCGAGTGCTAAAATGAGAAGGGATATAGGATGCTGTTTGGCTCACTGCTCTACTGCTCTGTATGCCTGCAGATTTGGATTTTCAAATCCTACAAAAGCTATGGTGACATGGGCTTAAAAGTCAGGCAACCACCTTTACAGTTCCTCCTTTCACTTAAAAAATGGAATTCCCTTTACTTAGATTTTCCTTTGCCTGATCAAAATTTTCATCCTCGGCCACAGATTTTTTTGAACATGAAAATGAATTACAATTCAGAGTGGTACTTTACAAAGTTGCTTTCTTTGTAAGGGAAGGAAAGGAAAAGCGAAGCAGATAGGAGTCTAAAGGTGTTGGACTCACAGCCAGTTTCTACCCTGCTTGACCACAGACACAGAACACAAAGAATTATTACATTCTTGAGAATATAGGTTTATGTAAATGTTACCTTTTATCCCAGCTGATAAGGTCCTGGTCATGCCTACCACAGGAGATTTCACGACTATTACTGACCCTTCAGTGTCCCTCAGCTCACATGAAGTTGTGTAGCTTGTTGCATTCCAAAGAAGATGCCTGGGTCCCTTTACACTGGACAAATATGGCTTTGAATAGTTCAAAATTTCACTACATATTGGCCTCTTGTGGGCTGCGTTGTTACATCCTTTATACTGCCTTCAGCACTTTCTCATCGCCCAATAACAGGGCGATAAAACTTCAAGTATGATGCTAAAAGGAATAAACCTTCTGTAGGTTGAAAGGATACCTTTTTATTTAAAAATAAACATTACCTCCCCAATCCCAGGTTTTCTTATGATTGATTTTGACACAATTTCAGAACTTTGATCAAAGGCAGACTACAAAATAATTTACCAGCTTTTTTTTCAAGCTAAAACCAAAATATGTCTGCCTAGGTTTTAAACAGTTAAACATTCAAAAAATCCTGCTTTGATGTTTAAGTAATTTCCCGGTGCTGCTTTCATAACTCCAGGTTTTGTCTTTGTTTACTTATATATATAAAATTGTATATGCAGCACTTTCTGTCATTTCCAAGTCCAGCCAGTTCATTCAGTTACTCAAGCAGGAACTCGGTGCTTTAGAAGATCAGTTCACAAGTTCAGGTTAGAGGTCATTCTTTAATCAGCTCTCTTCTATTCCTTAAGTCAGATTCTGCCACACTTCTTCATATGGAAGGCTTCATTCCCAGTGGGAAGGGTACTTCTCAAGGATGGAATGAATTACAGATCTTAGCTTGTGTATTTAGCTTTTTTAAACTTTACTCGTGTTAACCACAGTATTGCTGGCATAGGGGCAGGAGATTGTTTTAGGTGGCTAAGACCAATGCATTCTCCAGGACGCAAACTACCTATCTTGCTTGCAACAAAGGCTTAACAAGATATAGAAGCAATAAACTGCTTAACTGACCATACTTGATTTCTGTTTGGAACAGAGTATCTACTCCCTATTTATGTTAAATTCAGCTGAAAAGGAAGTCTAGTGCAGGAGACACTTGGGTTATACTTTGCAAAACACAGGAACTGAGAAAACCAAAGACAAAATCGATAAAAATCGAGCCAATTTACACAGGCTGATGGGGGTAATTCTACACGTAAATTCTGGAAAAAGCAATGGGCACCCCAGCCTCCCATTCCCCTCCAGGAATATACTACCTTTTCCTGATGATTCCTAGGTGATTTCTGCTAGTCTCGGAAAGAAAGAGGAAGATGAAAACTTTGACAAAAAAACCAAGAAAAAACAGTGCAGAGACTGAAACATTGTCAGCTTTTCCAGTGAGCAAAAAATACCTCGTAGAGCCAGTCAAAACAAACATATGCTGTTTCACAGGCTAAAGAAGGAATCCAGCAAGACAGACACTCTGTGCTCCCTTGTCTGGAAGCTTGTGTTCTATCAACACAAATGAAATTAGAAGTGTGTGGAAATGGGACTGGTCACGTCATGAAGGGGATAAGGTGTTATTTATTTCTTATTTAATAAAAGCATGAAGAAACCAACCTTCACTTATCTCTTCAATATTCTACTTCGGGACCAAGAGCCCAACTTAGCTACAAAGAAAGTTGCTTTCTGCACTGAAAGTTGTGTTTTCCCCAACAAAAACCAAAGCACTGCCAACAAAATCCAGTTCCTTCCATCTATCTAACCTGACACCCTGACCTTTGTGTTGCCTGAGTGTTTGCTTTCTGTACTCCTCACAATATCCTAAATACCAAAAAGACAACAGTGAATGTAGTAAAACCAATCACACGTGGCTTTCCTTCTTTTGTGATAGCAAAGCTAATTTACAAGAGGAGGTTTCCATTGTGCTCTATCAATTTTGACTTAATTCCTGACAGGTTTACTTGTGTCCACTTCAGAGGCAAACAAGCTAAACATGCAAAGGAGATCTATGCAGGATTTTCCTCCTCCGATCCATGGAAATGTTGCCTTTGGCTTTTCAGAGGAAAGTTGCACCTGGTACTGGGAACAGGGGAGTTAAGGTCAGACAAATAAAAAGCTTTAACTCAGCAAGCAAACTGTTTCTCAGTGGAGAAATGCCATTAGTAAGATGCACATAACTGCAGATTTCTACTCCCAAAATTCTGGGATGAAGATATATGCAGAAGAGGTTGAGCCCTCTGAAGGGTGTCTAGCAAGACAGGCTCTGTCCAAGGAAAGAGATGATTTCTAGAAAACACTGGCTATCAACACATTGGGTTAAAAGTAGTGCAATACAGTGACTTACTTAATTCTATTTTAAGTATAAGCAGCAACAGGCAGATAAGAGATAAAGAACCGAGAGGGAACACAAGTTGAGTAGCACAGTCCAGCAGACAGAAAGGGCCAGGAATTGCAATACCCGAGTTCTTTGCCAGACTGTTTAAGCTTTATGTTCTCAAATTTTAAGCTTTACGTTCTCAAATATTGCCAGCTCTGGTGCCAACATGGCTCTTAATTCTGAGTAAATTATTAAGTCTCTCTCTTCATTCAGCTTTGCTATCATCTGGGTAAACCTGACACTACTGCCCTGCTGGGTATTACATGGCCCAAAATCTTGGGCAGGTCTAATCATATCCCCTTCCCTGACTTTCACACCACACCACGAGAATGCAGCATCTGTTTTATTCAGGTGCTTGAGCCTGATCTCTATCAGGGCTCAAATGAGAGTGGATTCTTCTCTTTCCTTGCATGTAATTGAAGAAACTAACTTCTTTGTGAATATCTGAAATTCACATTGAGACACTTGAAATCCATGCTTGTGTTGCCTCGAGCATGCAGATCTTTGACTGCCTGTACCTTATGCACAAAGCTGAAAACGCTGCTTTCATTCACGTGCTTTCATTCTTCTGTGCTTTTGAATGAAAAAAAAAAATTAGCTTGCAGGAAAAACGCTTCCTTGAGCTGCCCTACTTTGTCCTAAGGTGACAGTCATTCTTGAAGACACCAGGAAATACTCATCTACAGACTCGGCAGAAGAGACAAGGTTATCTCCAGGGACTTTAGAAAAAGTGTTTTGTTTTTTCTCCACTACAAATCTATAAAGCATGACCATCTATATGCAAGCTGCATGATTCCTCCACTGAAGAGACAGCAGGTAAGTGACAGGAACCAAGGTCCTGTTTTGTCCTCTCTTCATTCTCAAGTAGATTTTGCAACTTCACATGTTAAGATTTTTCCATTGTCGACTAATTACAGAAGAAAAAATCCAGAATAAATAGATACCTTTGGAAGTCTTGGAAGAAATGCAGTTCTCTTCCCCACATGACTACTAGGTAGTTGACACTTAAGAATAATTTGACCGCATCATCTTTATCTTGATCCTTCAGAGAGCAAGTCGTGCTTTATCTGAGGACAGCTCTTACACTCAATTGCAATCTTAGTTTTTGTTTTTACATAACTTTGGCATCTGCTGATCTCAGATTACCTGCATGAGGACAGAATGTACCATTAGTCTGTTACCACGACAGAAAGAGAAACAGGATAAAACTGCTTAAGTGCAGTGACCAAATTGACCAGCAAACAACCAAGGCACTGAGCTAGGCTCTGCCTTGTTCAAAGTGTGAAAAAGCTTATCAAACAGAAGACATCACAGTTGGTTCTAAATAAAATCATCTCACGTTTGTTATATGCTTACCCACCTGAGGAGAGGAATTCAGTTCTCTAGGAAACAACTGTGTTGTAGGTACTAATGCTGTGGTCTCTGGTACAAAGAGTCTCAGGCACTGAGCAGGAGAGAGTGGATGAAGTATGCTTGGAATTTTCATTTAATAGAGAAAGAGTAAAAAGACAAGTCTAGTCAGAGACATAGCTTAGGTTAGTTCTTATTGTTAGCTCAGTTTCAAATGCACTTATTACAGAAGCAGCAGCCCCACTCATCTCAAGGGCTTGCATACGGCCAGAGCTCCCTTCTGCTAATCTTAAGCACTTCTTAAGACTACCTCTGCTGCCAGAAGAGATCAGAACAGCTGATAAAAGGTCCTTCAGATCTCAAATTCTATTGAAAAAAAGTAAAGAAAAAAAGAGACATAAATATGTTAATTATGATAAGGCCAGAGGATTAGCGCTACATCTGTTATTTTGTCTAACACTTTAAGAGGCATTTGAATATTTTGATCCTGACAAAGTGGTATTGCTCTTGCCTGGTATCAGGTGGCAGCAGTGCAGCCCTCATCACCAGAGCATGCAGTGAAGCTGACATGTGCTTTGCAGTGGTGAATTGATTCCAACCAACCTGATTTTATCAGCAACCACACTCTCAGGACATTCCAGACACATAGAATGGGAAGGGAGAGCAGGCCAAATTTCCTTCATTGGTGTAAATCATTCACTTCTACTCAAGTCAGTGAAGCACTGCCAACTGATACCTGCTGAGGATCCCAGCAGGGACCTTGAGGCCAGTATCTTAGAGCCCTTTATACCTTGTTTGCTATGAAGTTATTCTCCTCTAGAAAATCTCCTTGTGCAGGAGGCAATTTATATGTTGAAGTTACCTCCTATATGCACACTGTCCTCCAACCAACAAGCATTCTTTAGCAAATGAATAGGAAGCTGATGACAGAGCAAGTAATTTTATTCACTGAGTCAGTTTTGAAATGGAAGGGCACTGAAAAGCTGAAAAACATTTATAGGGAATTCCACTTTCAATGTTATTCAGAATATCAGTGATTATTTTGTTATTTTTAAGGAATGCTTAGATGGAATAGTGTTACCCCTTTGAAAAAGTTGGTAGCACAGTGGAGAATATAGCTATCAAGATTTACATAAAACTAACAGTCATGTTATGCTCAAAAGCTTAAGTTTATTGCTCTCTTTAATGACTATTCACCAGTATTTAAAAAAAGAGTGCCAGTTCTTTCTGCTAGCTTCTCACTGAAGGAAATATTTTAAATACAGCAATAAAATCAAGTGGTTTAAAGATAACACATTTTGTCACACATTCATGCAAACCCTGCAGACAGGATTTTTACAGGTTCATGGATACAGAATAAGCACAAAGATGTGTACTGAAATATTGGGAAACTTTTTCCCCACAGTGACAAAGTTGTTTGTAGGCGTAACATTTCAGGCCTTACCCTGCACCTGCTGACGTCAATGGCAAAACATCAGTGGGAGCAGGATCAGCCCTTATTGTTCTGAGAGCTGCTTTACCTTCTCCTGATTAGGAAGCGCAGTAAATTCGCAGAATCTTCTGCACTAATAGAAGCAGTGGGGTTTGCTTATAGTTACAAATAAAGAGAAGCAAATTTTTTTTTAGTAGGTCATCAGAGCTTCTATTCACAAAACACTCATCTTTCATGTTAAGGATATTGTATACCTCCATTTTTCTCTGCTCAGTGAAGCACTAAAATGTGTGCTCACCTCTAAGCATTAAACAGAAACTACAATCTTCCCAGTATAATTGAAGTCTAAACCAAAAACACAGGCAGCAGTCTTTATTGGGAAAGGAAACACTGTTGCCTGGGCCATTGGTTAGAACGGGCTAACTGTTGTCTAAATTTGGTTTGAGGGCACATTTATCACAAAGCAGCCAACAAGTTCATACAGACTTTTTTTAAAGCTGCCTTTAGGATTTGCATTTATTTTAATAGGCACTGGACATATGGTTACCCTAAAAGCTTTGAAACAAGTATAAATTCATAGAATAAAAGTGATTTTATTATTAGATTTTTAATAAAGATGGACTAAAAAAAATCCTCACCTGATTTAGAATCTCAGATTTCAGGAGGAATTGTATTCCATGTAAATATAGAAACTATTTGCAGAAATACAATCTGTCTGACAGATGTCTAAGATGTCCAAATATTGACAAAGAAAAGGTAAAGCACAAAGCATTTATGTTCAGATTAATGTCTACTCAGATTCCCCCCGCTGTCATGATACTGGGGTACACTGCTGGTAAGAATTCGAGGCAAGAATTTGACATATGTCGTTGAAATATTGTTTCCCCCTTAGTTCTGATAACACTGGTAGTGGACTGATTTAGGAAAAATAAAGAAGCAAACATGATGTGTGAAACATCATTTCAATGCAAATCCACTTGAGTCTTTCAATGCAGAGGCTCAGAAGGTTTACGATACACACAGTATTCGGTAATTGTGTATGTAAAAACAATCAGAAAGAGGCAAAAATTTACTTTCAAGCTTAGTCAACATACGGCACATTTCAGCATGACAATTCAAAAAGTTTCACACTATATTTGAATATATTAGCAATGACCTTTTAAAAAATAGCAAACTGAAGACACTGGATTTTTCTTCTGTTTTTCCTTCTTGCTTTTGTAACAAATGAAGCTACTATTATTATTTACAGTATAAATAAGCCTTTTTTGGTGAAGATTATGTCCTGTCACATATGTTTAAGACAAGGCGTACTTTAGCTTTTAAATGTCAATGCTAACAAGAGCATAAAAGCAATATCAAAGTAAAATAGTATCTTTCCAGCTAAGACAGCCAGATTACCATGTGTCTCTTATCAGATCTGAAATATATCTGAACGCAGTCAAAAGTTCTCCTGGCTTTAGCCTTTAGGAATATCATGAACACTTATTCTTCTGCTGCTCTAGAAAGCTGCTTCCCGTACAAGCTCATGACATGATGCACAAATTGATACTGTTCACAAGTCTGGATCATTCCTCCCCTGAAAGGCAAGAAGAAAAGGGGAGGGAAACAGCAGTCTTATTACTTGCAAACACGTGAGCAAGTAGCACAGCTAAGATGAAGCTTGTGCTCCACAAGCTTTGTATTCCAAAGCTTTCTGAAATGAGTGAGAAGTGCCCTTTGATTGTAACCAGCTTCAAGTCTGACCTTGAGCTCCATTTTGAAAGCCTCAGCTAGGCAAGAAACAGAAAGCAGTGAGAACAGGAATGGGCTTTACATTCATTTTCCTTGGCAGAGTTTCTTCAAAGTTCTCTCACTGAATTTGGGACCAAAGAGGGCTAGGCCAGACTAAGCCAAACCAGCCCAGACAACTGATGCAATTTTCCCATTCTGCAATGAGGATTCTTGCCTCTGTACCAATCCACAGGCTTTAAGCAAGTTAACCAGAGAACTAGGGACAAGTGGATTCGAGGAGCATGGGAACCCATGGGTGACTGGAGCCAACCAGACTGTGTCAGTTTGAGGAAGGACATTCCCTTAGAAACTTCACCAGAGGACATTAATGAAAAGTTGCTTCCTCTAAGCCAAATGGGGAGCAGACTACTAGCACCCTCCTTTGGGATGTCACTTTTCTATGGGGTCGAGGTTGACCATTATGGGCCACACAGTAGCCATATCAGGAAGGGGGAGATGAGTGGGAAAGACAACCTTTTCCTTTAGCCCCTTGCACTTAACTTTGTTAATAAGTAACACTTAGCAATGAACAGGAAAGGGCAGGGACCTATTCTCCAACCTCTCATCAACTAGCAAAGATGAGAAACACACTGTGTTTCAAAAAGAAAAATTTCCTAGCTGAGCATCTCCTCCCCACCTGCTCTACTTAATACAAGCTCACAGTTAATTTGTTTCTGAGTCCCTCTGTGCTCCCCACAGCACTGAAATATATCTATGTCAGACTGTGACACACAGGGAACATTAGTCATATCTTACAATTTCTCCCCAAGAAATTCCATTAACAGTCGGGTTGCACCCTGTAGTTGTAGCAACAGAAGCACCAGGGTGGCCATTGAGATTCAGACCACAGGAAATTATTTTCCTTTTTATCCTGTTTCCTGCTATGTGGTGGCTTCCTCCCTTGCCACACATGCACACCATGACATGTGCTTGCTGTCCAGGCTTTGGCACAGAATTGTGTTTTCACCCCTATTTGCCACAGAAACCTTTGAAATCTGAGTTGCATTGTGGGAAATGACAGCAAATGTCTCTCAGCACTGTGGGAAGGATGCAGGAATGATTACTTCCTCTCTTTAGTCATACTAGGTTATTTTAGGACCATCTGTTGGCCACTGGTGCAAAGCCTAGTGCACAGAACTTTTCCAAGGGATTTGTGAGGGAATGAAGGGAAAAAAAACCCCTTTGTTCTCTCCATACCTATGGCAACCTCAAAGGTGGTTCTCAGGGCTAATGTCAACCTTTCTAACTCTGTGTAAAGCAGGGAGGTGCATTCCTTCCGACGTCTATTCTGGCCTGCATTCAGCCATCTTTCCCTAAGTCCCTGGTGACTCCTTACTATCCTAGACAGTAATGATCAGGCAAGAGGAGGAGACACAGTCTTCCCTCTTATAGCTGCTTGGACACTGTCTCAACATCTCATGCTACTTTTGAAGTCTCCTCGAGATTTTGGGGGGAGTTAGTGAAAATGAGAGTGGGTGGCAGCATGACTTCCAAGAGACTATGAGCCCTGTTTTTCAGTCCTTGAAGAAATCATGCTTTTCTGTAGGAAGGATGGTGATCTGCTTTCCCTCTTCAATATTTTACCCCATGACATTTAAATGGCTTTTATCTATTCCATCCCACTCCTGAGAGCTACATGGCAGCTACAGAGGATCCTACAGTCTTCCTTTCCCCCATGGTGTCCTTTAAGTATGATTTTCCTTCTTCAGAGTCTTCAAGTGACTGCCAGTTCCCCGCTCCCTTCAAAGCTAGTATTTGCAATTGGCCTGCTGTACCAAACACATTTGTAAACAGGCACCTTCAGCCTTCATTTGTGTGGTGATTTTCCTGTGTAGTATTAGTCACAGAGATAAGATATTTCACATCCAGATAGATATTTAACCGGACCATGGATAATCACCACTCATTGTTCATATTCTGGTTTTCTTTTTCTCAAGAAGCCTTCCCTTGTCTGGGCTAAAATCCACTGAAATAGCCAAATCTCTAAGCCCCTGCAGGTCCCTATCTATCAGAGCCTCAGCAGGGCAGCAAGCATTTCATTTTTTGCCTCCCACTGAGCATAATTTCTTCTCTGATATAAAGTTCAGCGTGGGGTTGAGGTTCTTTTTTTTCCCTCAGAAAAATCTTTGGTATGTATTTCGTGACATCTCTTCCCCCGACTACATTTATCATTATCATTAAAGAGAACACTGAGACATGTTTTGATGGCACTTGAAACCAGTGGGAGAGGAAAAATAACATTCCTGCTATAAAATTCAAGTCTGTTTACTTCATAATCAAACTCAAGGTGGTGCGTTAAGAAATGCTTAACTGGAAACCATTGAATTTGTGAAGATTTTCACAGAGCCTTTCATATGACTGCAAACACTCCAGGTTGTGCATTCTCCTTCCTCAAGCAACGTCTCTCCCACTATGGCTCACCGCTCGAGTATATGAGATGAATTTTCAATACTCCTTATGAGTGGAAAGTGATAATCTGTGGCTCTGAACTTAAGCACAGCAGATCTTTGAGCCTTTGCTTCTGTATGAATACGGGGCCAACTCCTCAGCTGGTAAAAGGTTGCCCCTTGCTGCATGGAGATGGGCAGCTGGGCAGACTTTGATGCCAGCTGTGAACCTAGATCAGCTCTAGGGGTGTACTGCTCAGGCAAAGATTACAAGTCAGAGGAACATTCTCTCTTGGCCTCCACTTGGGCTTGTTCTTTCCCTCTCCTTATTTGTTTCTCCTTAAATGAGGGGAAATATTACCGTTTTTATCTTTCTGGAAAGGAAACAGGCTTTCTTACCTGTCTAACCGTAACTGGCAGGCTGTTCGCAAAATATCAACTATGCCCTCGTTCTTCAGCTGTTTACAGCAGACACTTGTGGCAATAAAGCAGCCAGTCCTCCCGATGCCTGCACTAAGGAAGGGAAGAGCAGAGAGAGGCAGTGGAGATATCACAAGGATTTTGGAACTTTCTTGTCAAATGACTGCCACTAAACCGGCACAGACCCCATCATCCCTTTTGTCCCTTTAACCTTTGCCAGCAAGGTGCTTCCAGATGGAAAGTCATAACTAGGAAAAGATATCAGCTTGGCTGGATGACATGATTAAGTATGAGCCACTCACAGCAAAAGGGAGAACATTGCAGATACGGTGCTAAAAATGGACTATCAGAGACTCATTGACCCAACATGTCGTTGAACTTCCCACTGAAGCATTGAAAAAGAGCTTCTGCATTTCTTAGTAAGATTTGGTTTGACAGCAATGCTTGCTTTGAAGGCAAACTTTGCTTTGAAATTTTCAATTCTAACAGCTTCTTTGAAAGCTATTTTCATTCACAGGTAGAGTAAAAAAACCCCAACCCTTGGTTAGATAATTAGAGCTAACAGCAGTATTGTAAGTGTGATGTAATTTTCTGATCAGATCTACAATCTAGTAATTTGAATTAAAGCAGAAAACAACAAAATCACTATAAAAAATTTTTCTTTAAAATTTCCTGAACTCTTTTTTATCTGATACATTCCTTAGGTAATGACCAGAACAGAGTTTATTTTCCAAGACACAGTGCTATAGAAGCTACGAATTCTTCTCATCACCTAACAAACTACCAGCAAATGCTGGAAGACCTTCTTATGCATGAAATAATTAAGTGAGCATACTCAGGAATAATTACTTGACACAACTACAGGAAATCTTGTTTTCATTTACATTGTGAGAAAATCATAATGCAAAACCACTGCATTTTGCATTTTGAACAAATGTTCAAGCAACACTTGAGTTCACGGTTCACAGCTGCCCACTTGATCACAACCAAACAGACCACAGCACACAGCTCCTGATACTGCTTACTGTCCAGAGACCTCAATGTTTTTCAAAGGGAAGGAACAACACCCATTTTTAGATAAAGGAAACAGTGCTTCTCCCAGGACAAGCCATAGGTCAGTGGCTGAGACAGTGTTGGGTGGCACATCATCTACATAGAACACTCCATAATCCTATCACCATGTCTCTTAGTATTTTTTTTTTATTAAAAATGCCCCATTTCTCCCCAGATTATTACTGTGTCATGGGGATGACACCATACAAGAGGACAGAACAAATATGCAAAGGAAGAGTGACATGGTAATCGGCAGCAGATACCACAGTTCTCCAAGGAGCTCCTAGAGAGTCACAAATTTCTGTGGACAAAGAGGACCTCCTTACAAACCATTTCTTATTTTTATCTGAACTCTCCCAAATTTTTACACATCAGTTTTAAAACACAGGCAGAAAAACCGGACATGTGGTATCACACAAGGGTTTTAATAGTGATTACTCCATATTAGCTTATAGTCAGATCTTTGATGACACCAGGCTATCAACCATTTCTGCCAAGAGGCTCTTTAAAAATATTCTCATTGTATAATACCCATTTACTACGGCTTTTGGAGAGCGACCACCTGCTGTTTCCTAGAAAACATTATGCAAAATTAAACAAAACTCCGTACAAAAATAAATTTGGCAAAATGTATGTTATTGAAATTATGGAAGATTACCCTGTCAAGACAAACTGCATCTTTTATCACGCTTTCTACAATTTACCTGGAACAAGTGTTTTGAGGACAAAACAATTTTTTTAGTTTCCAAGTAATCACATTTAACCTTTCTAAACAGTGGCAAAACAAGGCTTCTTTTTTAGACCCCTGGAACTCTTCCAATTTTCCAAGAACTGTAATTCATCTACATTAAACTTTAATGGTTTAGAGTGTGTGAACCAACTTTTTTAAAACACTCTTGGATGAAAATCAATTAGCATATCTGATTTAATAGTGGTTGCTGATGCTTAACACGCTCCCTAGTTAGCAGTGCAAAAGAATATACTTCATAGTGTCTACAAATGATAAGCACATCATCCCACTTCTTTCTGAGGATAGAAGTATCTATCCTCATCTATTTTTATTCTGCTCTGATTGATAATTACAATTTTATCATCAGGCATCAAACCACTGTAAAGACTTTGCTTCTTCCATAGAAGTTTTCATCTTTGCCAGAGATTTTTACTGATACTTCAGTTTTACTAACAATTACATACATTTCGTGACTATTGATTAGTACTTGCTGTAATCAGTTTTGTCACTCTTTCGGTAATGCGTTATATTTAAATTATTGTCTTTGGTCTAATAATGATTTATTAAAAAAAAAAAGAAAAGAAGGAATCTCCAAAACAGGGGGGTTTGATGCTTGAAGTTGAATGCAATATTTGTCTGCTTGCATGTGTCTACCTACTCAGTTTCCCCTAACGTATGTTAATCTTCGTTAACCTGGCCCTTAGAAGATAATTAAAGGCATATATTACTGGTAAGGCAAATTAAATAGAATTATTCTTACAAGTAACTGAGCCACTGCCAGCTTTTATGTTCAACTTAGTCTGTATCTGAAAGCAACACTTGATAATAGAAAATAATTGTCATTAAAGCTTTGAAATTCCAAGCATATTTCAGAAGCAGTAGGGCAAGATTTCACACACGACTGATGGCCTATATGGCAGTGTCTGCACAGGGTCACTGTATGCGAAGAAGCCCTTGGAATTCAGACACAAACATTTATTTACCTGCAGTGAACAATCACTGGGGCATTCTTCTCCTCTGCACTCTGCATGGCCTCTTCCACTTCCAGTACTAGCTGTAACAGAGGAGGGGCCTGGTCTGGTGTCTTCTGGTCTGGCCATGACGTGTACCAGTAATGTTTCAGGTTTCTGACTTCTTCTCCTTTCTGCAAGCCAGTCAAGACAAACACCACAAAAGTTCACAAGAACTTCTCATTGTAAAATTGATCCTGAAACATGGCCTTCCTTTTAAGACTGAGTAGATTAAATCAATCTGCTGGAAAGACAACACAGTTGGGCACACACAGTCCAGGGGTCTGCTGCAGAACACTGATGAGATCTTTTTGACACAATTGGTGGAGGAGCCAACGAGGAGAGGTGACCTTGTATTAGTACACAGTTGGGCACATGAAGGTTGGGGGTAGCCTTGGCTGCAGTGACCAAGTTATGGTGGAGGATCCTACATGGAAGGAGCAAGGGCAGTAAGTAGGATTACAAGCCTGAACTTTGGAAGACATAACTTTGATTCCTTCAAGGACTTAATTTCAAGAATCCCTTGAGTTATAACCTTAGAAGACAGGGGATCTAATACAGCTCATTAATACTCGAGAATCACTTCCTCCAAGCTCAATTTCCATGCATCCCTCTGGGTAATAAATCATGCAAAGAGGGCAAGAACCATGGATGGATGACCAAGAAACTTCTTTCAAAAAAATAAAACAACACAAGAAGGAAATTTATCGAATATGGAAAAAGGGACAAGAGAAATATAGGACTGTTGTCAAAGTATGCAGAGATTTGACAAGAAAGGTAAAGGGCCATTTGGAATTAAATCTGGCAAGGCATGACAAGAACAACAAGAAGGGTTTCCTCAGTTGCATCAGTAGCAAAAGGAAGAGCAGGGAAAATGTGGGCCTGCTGCTGAATGAAGTGGAAGCCCTGGTACTGGAGGATACAGAGAAGTTACTGAATGCCTCCTTTGTTTCAGTCTTCATTGCCTATGCTGGCCCTCAGGAATACCAGGCCTTGAAGGCAAGAAATTCTGGAGAAAAAAGACAACATTCTAATCCAATGCTCATCAACCAAAGGAAAGAATTTAGGTAAACCTGACATCCACAAATCCATGGACCCCAATGGAGCCTACCCATGAGTGCTGAGGGAGTGGGTAGATGTTACTGCTAAGTCACTCTCCATCACCTTGGAAAGGTCATGGAGAACAGGAGAGGTGCCTGAAGACTGAACAAAGCCAATGCCACACCAGTCTTCAAAAAGTTGGCAAGAGAGAGGACCCAGTTCTAGTCGGCCTCAGTTCCATCCCTGGAAATGCAATTAAATAATTCACTCTGCATATCACTTCTAAACATGTGAAGGAAAAGGTTATCTGGAGTATTCAGCATGGATTTACCAGGGGGAAATCATGCTTGATCAATCTGAAAGGTTCCTGTGATGGTATGACTGGCTGGGTGGATGAGGGGAGAACAGGAATATTGTCTATCTTGACTTTAGCAGGGTATTTGACCCTGTCTCCCATAATCTCCTCATGAGATAAGCTCAGGAAGCCTAGGTTAGATGAGTGGAGAGTGAGATGGATTGAGAACTGGCTGGATGGGTTCAGAGGGCTGTGATCAGCAGCCAAAGAGTCCAGTTGAAGCCCCATAGCCCGTGGCCTTCCCCTGAGATCAGTACTGGGATCAGCACTGTTCAATTTACTCATCAGTGACCTGGATGAAGGGGCAGAGAGTACCCTCAGCTAATTTTTTGATGATGATACAAAACTAGGAGGAGTGGCTGACACACCAGAAAGCTGTGCTGCCATTCCATGAGACCTGGGCAGGCTGGAGAGTTGGACAGAGAGGAACAGATGAAGTTCAACGCAGGCAAGTGCCAGGTCCTGCAAGTGGAGAAGAATAACCCCAGGCACGAGTACAGTCTGGGGGCTGGCCAGCTGGAAAGCAGCCTTGTGGAAAAGGATCTAGTGAGCAAGCTGCCCACAAGCCAGCAGTACCCTTGTGGCCAAAGAGGCCCATGGTGTCCTGTGGTGCATTAAGAAAACAGAGTCATCAGACTGTGAGTGATGATCCTGCCTCTCTATTCAGCCTTAGAGAAGCCTCATTTGGAGTGCTGTGTCCAATTCTGGACTTCCCAGCTCAAGAGAGACAAGGCACTACTGGAGAGGGTCCAGTGGAGGGCCATGAAGATGATTAGGGCACTGGAGCACCTCCCTTAGAGGGAGCTGGGCCTGTTTAGCCTGGAGGAAAGGCAACTGAAAGAGGACCTTATCAAAATTTATAAGTATAGAAGGGAGGGTGTCAAGAGGATGGGTCAAGGCTCTTTTCAGTAGTGTTCAGCTACAGGACAAGGGCAGTGGGCACAAACTGTTACACAAAGTTCTATCTGAATATGAGGAAAAATATTTTGAGGGAAAATTTTTTCCCAAGCACTGGAACAGGCTACCCAGAGGGTTTGTGGAGTGTCTTTTTCTAGGATATTCAAAACTTACTTGGACACAAGCACATGCAACCTGCTTTAGGGGAACTTGCTTTAGCAGCCGGGTTGGACCAGATGATCTCCAGTGCTCCCTTTTCCAAACCCAACCATTATGCGAATGCTAAATGGAACAGAAATCCAAATGGGAAGCCACACAAGAGAGAAATCTGAACTTCAAATATCATGATTGCACTTCAGTAAACTGCCTTACAAAACCCGCCCCAAAATTTCCTCCCCATGCAAAGTATTTTGCTCTTTTAGTTCCAAGAGCTGTGTGCAAAACACTCCAGGAAGTCTGTTCCCTCTTGACAGATTCATTCAGCAAAGCCAGAGCTGTGCTTGTGATATAATTGCTTTCATAATGTATTTGACAGACAGAGTCAGGAGCCATATCTCTGTCTCTGATAGCTAGATAAATAGATGAGGGAGAGAGATGGGAGCTTATTTTTCTATCTCTTCTGACAGACAGACTTGTATCAGTCTCCTGTCAATTCTACTCTTCTCTTAGACATGGTGAGAAGCTCAGAGGCAATATAGCAGGTGGGAAATGTATATAGCTCTAGGCCAGGTCTTTTTGAGAGACACAAATTCTGATTCTCTGTCTCAGCATGGTTATGAATATAGCAAATGTGTTGTTTCCTTTTTGGAGTGCCAAGCAGCACTGTGAGCTTCTGATTTTGTGTGTTCAAAGTGATATCCTTCTGTCTGATTTCTAAAGGTGGAAAATAGTAACATGGTGCTCAGGGAACTGGCCTTACCCTTGCAGCCATTACATAAGCCAGCTGGCACAGGGCAAAGTAAATGTTTGCAAAAGGTCCAAGAACACAAGTGTTAGCTTCCACAACCCTCCCTTCAGCACATGGCTGGCTAAGTTGGAGAGGGGTAAACAAAAAGACAAATATAACTTTTTCTAAAGAACAAGGCACAAAAATCTGAAAATAGTTTCTATCATATATACTCCCAAGACCGTCTCTATGCTTGTCAGATATTGGATGCTAAGAGTGCTCTGTGGTTGAGCATTTTCCATTCTTCTATTTGGATGACAGAGCTTTTGCATAGGTCCACAGTGAACTAGATTGGGAAAACAATCACGTTAGATCTTTTTCCTTTCTTGAGATGGATTAATTTTTGGATGGATCAATCTCTTTCTCCTTTTTGCTTGTCACAGAGTCACAGGGAACATGGGAGATGGTGCAAGGGTCGGAACAAGAGAGCTGGACAAAGGGAGGCTTGGCTTCATTGAGTTACTGTTTGATCTTACACTGGGTTTAAAATGCTCACTGAAGCATAGCTATAGGATCCTCAAGGCTGTGTCTAGCTCACTTCAGGAAAAGAAAATCTTACTATCATAGCATAGAATCTGGCCTTATGTTATATATCCTAGGGAGAAAAAAACTTTGTTTAAGAGAGCATAACTAGTTATCATGAATAGCACTCGAGCTCACTACAGCAAATCTGATCAATGCTGCTCTGAAACGCAGTTGCTTTTGAATGTGTGACTATGTCACAGAAGTTATGAACACCAAATTCTTAACTCAGTTGTGAAAAATTATAATTAAAATGTTGTCTATAACACTGAGGGAAATGTAAAAGTCACCTGCAGAAAAACATGAATCACTATGTAAATAATTTAGTTGACAGCAACAGAAAACAAAGTTCTAGTGATGAATTCTGGATGCCTTCAGTTTTATCTGCTGTGTTAAAAGTTTAATGCTTCTGCTCGGAGAACTCTGACTTCTGTGGTTCTGTATACTTCTGCTTTGGCTTGAACAAAACATTCTCTATTGATGGCTCCATAAGACTGAGAAGACTTGGGAACAGCTAGGAGGAAGCAAGATTTAATTGGCGGTTTGAAGTCTGCCATCATGTATGCTGTAGCTGAGACTATGACTTGGTGGCTAGACACTGGTAGCTTTCTCTGACAAAGGAAAACAAGCCTTGCCTATAGCCAGAGCTTTTTCTAAATTCCCAAAACCTGATAAATCTTGTCCCCTATACTGAGAGAAAAATGACAGTCTACTCTATAAAGCATGCAGTATTAATGTATTTCTAAACACTCCTGTTCAAAGGCAAACTGAAGTCAATTCAAGGCTTTTCCAGTTTTCACTACCAAGTCACTTAATGTATGCATAGTTCAGAGCTGCTGCTCCACGCTAGCCATTAAATGACAAATGTACAGCTCTAGGGAACGTTAAGTTAAACAGAATCTTTATTTCAGCTCTAGAACTCAACAATTCATATTTTGACATTTGGAGGTAGAGGAAAGAGACATTGACCCACTAGTACTGAAAAGAAAACCATTGTCTAACTGCAAAGCAAAAGCAGATGAGCTGCAAGTCTGCAACGTAAATATTCTTCACTTCCCACTTGTCAGGGAGTATGATTTTCTCCTTGCTGCCTTCACCAAAAGCATGAGTGACAGACTTTCTACACTCTAAAATCCAGACATGGGATGTCATGTGCTGGCTTTATGCCCATTAGCATATGGCTGAAACTGGTTGGATAAAAGGAGAGTTTTTCCAAGAAATTGTCACATTACACAATTTGGGGGTTGGGGTAGATCTGGCAGATGAAACATGTATGAAGTTTCTGTAAACAGACTATTAGTAAAACCTGTAGTTTGATATTCTAGAACCTAGCAATGAAAAGAGTTGTAAAATAGGACTCTAGTACTTCGGATTAAGTAGTATCTAAGTACTTAAAAGATTAAACCAGCATTAAAACTTTATATTCACAAAATGATAGAATGGTCACTGGTATATAAAACTACACTTGCAAAGTAAGAAGCTCTCTGCGAGCTGACATTTCATTCTAAATGATCAATGAACCCAGAGGACAAAGGCACAGAATGAGTCACTAGTTTCTTACCCAGTGAACCCCATACTACAACTGGCCTGGTGGCTTTCAGGCTGTACACATGCAGCCTAAACCTCTGACGGCTTATTTTCCTGTAGCCTTCATGCTGGTGATCTGGGCAAAGCTACAACTTCAGTAATGAAAAGTGGTATTTGTACAGCAGTGCACTGTGCAGAAGCTTTCTACACAACTCTTCCTGAACATCTGCATTTATAGGTTTAGACAGCTAAGCTACTGTAAGTACATTGGAATGATTTACCTTTAGGGTGATGAGCCTTAAACGGTAATCGTCTGCTTGTATGACTCTGTTAACTGTGATTTCTATTCCTTCATAGGTGACCTGTTCCTCTGGCCAATATTCTGTGCATTTCTGTGTGCAATATAAAACAAATTCAGTTAAGCAGGTATGAAGGGAGGCTCGGCTTTTTTCTCCTCTGAAACTGAATATAGCACATGCATAGAGGAATATGAATAAATTTTATTTCTATAATAAGTACAAGCTTTCACTTACTAAACAGGGACCACATTTCAGCTGATTTTTGCTGCATCCATAATAGCCTGATTGCTTGATTAAAAATGCACAAATCAAGTAATTACTAACCAATGCTTTTAAATACAGACATCCTTATTTATCTTTATGCAGCTGATGTGCATTTTGAAGATTCATTAGAGAGGCTGGTGGCAATGTGCTTGCATTTTCAAATTAATCCTTTTCTTAGGATAATAATGATTAGTATAATATACACTAGTTACCAATATATCTGTGCTGCATATATACTGATGTAGAAACACAAAATACAGCTTTTCTAATTTTTATAAAGGCTCAATGCTCTCTGAATATAAAATTATCATTTGCATATGTTTTTGCACAAAATAACATGACTGTGGATGTTTGGGGAAATAGATTATGTATCAAAATCCACTTAAAATTGTCAGTGAGAATCTTTCAAAGCTAGGGAACTAAAAGGCAGCAGTAGCTCAGAGAGATCGGACTACTGCATTTCGTTTTGCCAAAACCAGCAAGAGATGCAGCCAGCACAACCTGACAGTAAGAAACACAGAAATATAGTCCGTTTGCAGATCTGCTTTGTGGTACTGATACACTAAAGATGAGGCAGTGAAAATTTGTAAGCACTCTGATCCTGGAAGAAAGGCTAAAAAGGACTGTGGTTTTGTATTTACTTTCTCTAAATTAATCAATATGCAAAGGTAGACAGGCATTTCAAGATGGTGCACTAATTAGTTCATGGACAAGGAATGACGTGAATGTTACAGAGTCTGAAGTTATATCATTATCACAGGGGAGTAGGTATCTGCTATTCAACAAATTTCAGTTAAGATGATGCTTGTGAGATTCCTCTTTTACACAGCTGTACATAATCTTGAAGAAAACAAGTTGAATCATTTTACTCTCCCCCACCAAACGTAATTCCACTTGAGGAGAAAGACTAACAACAGAAAAGTACCTTGCATAGTTACTGAGTCAAAATTTTTGTGTGGGAGAACCAGTGTTGTTCCATCTGCACAGTGCATCAGTTAATAACCCACTGGGAGTGTGGCCCACTGTGTCTCTGTAAAATTATTTATGCAGACTGTGGTTTTTCTTCCTCTACTCACAAACTGCAGAATACACTGCAAAAATTGTCAAGAGCGCTACCAGCTATCAATAGCACAGACATTGCTCTGCTAAAAGGAGAGGAGTAAGATTGCCCACTCATTTCTGTGGGCTGTCTGTCAGTTCAGATTAGAAGTGACAGAGAGCTGAGGTGCAGAGCTTTCAACACTCACATTGTGAAGTCAGTGCACTGAGGAGGAACACAAAGCCTCTCTTACTAGTATCATTGCTAAAAAAACTTTTGGGTTTGAATCTATGTACTTTGAGTCCTGTTATTCATCTATTAATATAAGTGTTGCAGATAAATTGAGTGAGTATAGAAGACATTTACATGAAAGGACCCTATATTTATGGCTGAGATTGCTGACACCATTACACTTTTGACACAAAATGTGTCAGGAAAGTATCAGCAGCTCTGTTGAGATATACAGGTTGTAGCAAGCTCCAGTTCTATAGTGCATCAGGACTGCAGTGCACTGCTTCCCAAGACTGATAAGAGAGGTGAAACACTTGGTCAATGTAGGCAAGAGGCAATCCGGACAAAAAGGTTATTTTGCCTTCCTGTTATACAATCTCGTTATAAAAACTACAGAGGAAGAACATATCACCAAACGTGTCATTCAGGACCAGCATTTCCTCTGCACCTTCTTTAAACCTCAGAGTCCTCAAAAGATTGTGGTGCACTGACTGTCATGACATTTTAATACCATATGTGCCAGAAACTGGCAACTTTGATTAATGAGCAAGATAGTGCTTCAGTGCTGCTGCTCAGATACAGGCAGGCACAAATTTCAAACATGAGTGAAAACAAAGCATTCAGATCAGCAGCATACTCTGTTGTTGTGCATCAGCAATGCCTTGACAGGACGTGTCCAATGAGCCAGCTGTAATAGCTGACCATTTTTAACTTGCAAAACATGATTATTCTGTATCAGTCTTGTTCATGCCTTTTTTTTCACTGAAGTTGAAGGTTAAATTTATTTACTTTATAACTATGAAAATCTAAAGGTTTGTGCATTTTGGGCACTAAGCTTCCAGCTAGCAGATAAGCCATTACAACTCTGTCTGTATGCACACCCATATTCTTTGGCTTCTAAGCATCTAAAGCTTCTTCTCCAACCAAAAATCTCTAACCTAAATGACTAACCTGTTCTCAAGGACAAGCCTGGCATACACTGCTGCTGCAGCTTAAGAAACAACATTTGGGTATCTCCACTCAACCTTGCTGCTTAGTGGTGAGGGAGAATGCAGAGCCCAACACATGCCCAGACCACTTTCTCACATCTTACACGGTCAGTAAAGGCAGATGTAAGCTCAACTACTTGTCTGTGAGCTGAAGCCCACAAAAAGTTCTTGCAACTCTGCTATGGGGGAAAAATTTCAGCAGGTAAGTAATGAACAGCTGGAGGGCTGCAGTATTATAAATAGAAAAAAAAACCAAACTTTAGGTGGCTTAGCAAACCATCACTACAGTTTAATTTATGGAAGTAGGTGGCAAATAGAAATTTTCAGCATTTCAATTTCAATGTTTCATAAGCATTCCCTAGACACATTCAGGGGAAGGTCCTCAATATTCAAGTTAGTTCTAGTTGTTGATTATCATACAGAAATCCAGTACTTCCTCAATGAAATATGAAATATAGACATCAAATCATAATAAATGCAAGATAAAGCAGCAACAACTCTACTGATTAAAGATATCCAACCTTAATAATTACTAGGTACTATTGTTTGTGATTCCTTTAGAAAGAACTTCAAAGGGTGCCTACAAATAGAACTGGGTTAGGAGGGGTTTCAAGTCAGCCAGGAGAGGAAAACAGCAAAACCAACAGTAGGAGACGTCAGACAGCGAAACAGGACTTACAGTAAACTGAATTCAAAGAGAAGGCCACATCTTCTGAGCCTGAAGAATTTAATGCTGGCTCTGATTGCACAGGCCACTGAACTAACTTCTGTTTGCTGGCTTAGTGTCTATGCTGAAAATATCTGCTGGAGTACAGATAAAAATAATAGACTGGATGTAAGAGCATTACCTCATTCATCTCTTCTATATTGGTAATCATGACAATGATGGGAGAACGCTCCTGCCACACCATTCTCCAGAAGTCAGTGACAGTATTAACTATTGGTCCCTGAGTAGCAATATATACCTTTTCCTCTCCTCCATAGCCCTGCCAACAAAAGAACAAGAGATCAGTTTTAACGGTGATGTCCACCATAACCTTGAAGGTTTGCTCTTAAAAAAAACCCAGAGAGCTATCCTGGTGGAAATGCTGACTCTGTGCTACCAGCTCTCCTCTCTATCTCTCTCCTGCACACGTGTACCTGGAGCGAAGGCACAGTATGGACTCGCATAATTCCAGCAAAGAGTGTCCAACAACCTTGAGGTGACTCTGGCTAGGTCATGAGCCTTATTCAATCTGATTATCCAGTGCCTTGGTTAGGCCAGCTGACAAGGAATTTTGCATCAAGAACTGCAGAAGTATGTTTCTGTCAAGTCTGAATCTGTACAGGTGCACTTTGAGATTTGGGTTTCAGCTAATGTAAGCAGGAGAGAAGAGCAATCAGATCAGCTAGGATGCCTTTAAAAACCAGTGTATGCTGTGATTCTGTTTACATTAATGGCAGCTGATAGAGGCTGGGCAGACACACTGGGCTAGGGGCTCTTACCCTGATGTAGTTAGCATTGATGTAAGAGCTGAGGGGGTCGTCCTGATCAGCTGAGGTAAGGCACACTCTGCTGTGAGGATCTGAAAGGTGTAAGGAGATAAGGTATAGCTTATGAGTTGCTCAGAGGAAAGAGACACACAAGATTGTTTAGTACAGCAAGACATTTACATGCATTCATGGCCATCACAGCAGATGTGAGTGGCCTTGGAAAACCCCCATGTTAAAACCACTAAAAAAGGGGAGAAGGATGGTTGGGGTAATTTGCAGTGAAACTTCTGACAGTTTTCACCCACTCTCTGAAGCCTTCCTGAATTGGTCCTGTTGCAGAGTCAGTTTTTCATCATGATTCTGGAAAAGCAGTTTTCTGCTCCAGGAAATTATTTCTCAGTCTGTTAGGTCAACAGACTCATTCTGGCTTCAAAGACATTGGAATACTGTTCGTGAAATGACAGCAAAGAGCTTTTCTACCAAAACATAAACATGCACTTCTTGCACCCAGGCAAGCCAGATAACAATAACTCTCTCCCTGTTTCATCTTGCAATGGACTGAACTCCAAGACATGCTATTAACAAATATAATGGTTATAGAGAAATTAAATCATATTAACAGGTCCCTTGCATTTTAAGTTTCTTCAGTACTTGAGTCTCCTTCACAGAGGCTGTTTATGAAGCATTATTCTTGTTCTAATAAGATGACAAAAGAAAACATTATTCCAGTGAAGAAGTTCAGTCCAATTCCTACTGAAGTCAATGGCTGTTTCACTGATTTTAATGGGAACTGACACAGGCCCACATTCATTCACTTTGACCAGTGCTACCCAGTTTGTTATCATTGACAAGAAACAGCCTCCTGACGGAGGCCTCAGCAAACAGCAACACTGGATATGAACAAGATAATATTAAAAACAAACCACAGGTGCCTTTTTCATAAAAAAATTTCAACCAGCTTCGAAAGAAGAATAAAATAAAATTTATGCCAAAATTGTGCTTTACCCAATATCATATTAAGGACTAAGCACACAGTAATTTTTACAGTACTACAAACACAGACTCAGCACAAAATGCTGTCCTCAGACAGACTAGATTCCTGTTTACTGGGATCTTTGGCTTTGAAGCATAAAGACAATGTTTAGATCTCCTTGCTACCCCTCTTTACTGCCAGCCCTGTGAAATGTAGGCAGTGGGATAAGAGTAAGCACACTCAGCCCTCTCCTTCCCTCAACAACATCCTGTGGCCACAGTTAGAGACAAAGTCTCTCAAAGTCCATTCAGAAAAAAACTCTCAGAATAAAGCTGTTAACCTTTAGAGTGATAGTTGGGTAGAAAGCAATTATCAGAGAGGAAGAGGTCAAAGTGGCTGCTGGCAGAAGATACCGATATGGCTGAGACGAAGAAATGCCAAATTCAGAATATAAAAATCACTTAGAGATCTGGCACCTTGGGCATCTGAAATCAATATCCACTTTTGCAATCCTCCCATTCCACCAAAACCATGAATTAATTCTTGAACAAATCACGTCAGCCATTAGCACAGCAATAGTGAAAGTGGTTAAATGCTTTTAGAGTTCTGGTCTGAGGTAGAGAACAAAGTCATCAAAAGAGTTGCACACATTGGGCTGCAGTTACTGGAGTCTGAAGACATTAAAAAAGTCTTTTTTTAAACTACTTCCAATCCAGATTCATTGACTTTTAGGTACAGCTGAGGACATTTTTGACTTCACTGCACTTGTATTTGCTAACCTGACATTGAACATTTTGGATTTTGCAAAAGACTACTGTGGATGGTGGTACCATCTTCCAGCAACAGCTTTGAGAAAAAAAAAAAGGTATGACATCCAATCATATAACTTCTCAAAGTATCTTAAAGTATGAGAGAGGGAAAAATGATGACACTTGTAAAAACGTGTACCAAGATATTTGTCAAAACTCCTACTCCTGCCTATTGTAATGGAAAAGAAAAATACATTTTTGTGTCGTCTTAATGCCATCAGGCCAGTTCCTAATATTCTCAGTCTGCATTTGAAAAAACATCAGTCAGAAAAACAACGTTGCTAGAATTTGGTCTTCAAAAGAAATTTAACCAAAGAAATCATTAAGTAACATCTTAATAAAGCAAGTTTTTGGGTACAACTTTTAAGCAGTGCCAAATGATGCAATTCTAACTAAAAAAAGCTATGTTTCCCTAAAGATCAGCAGCATTTTGGTTCTCCATGCTCTGTACCTCTTTGGAAATTTGATTTATGATTTGAAGCTGCTGCTTTATAACATGGCTTTTGGACAATACATTGTGATGACAGTACACTTCATGCACTCTGGAAAGGAAAATGCAAAGCTCTCCAGCATGTGGAATAAACTACCCTGCCTCAGTGACTTAAAAAGCAAAAACTTACTTGGGAGAATTGTTTTGTAGCGATTCTTACGGACTAGGCCTGGAATATCATATTCCTTTGGATCAACAAAGTTCATTGGAATTTCCTGTTTAAAAAAAAGAAAAACAAAAAACCCATATAACCATAAGAGACAGTCAGTAGTATTATTAGATTCACAATAGGTATAAAAACCTCACGCCCATTATGTCCTCCCTGAGAGGGAGGCAAAGTGATGAAGTCAGCTGGGACATATTGTGCAGCACCTCTAGCAACTTATCCCCAAAGTATGATTGATATTTCCTTTTACTGTCACTGGCTTTCTTTTCTGAAATCCTTCATGAGAAAACGCTCCTAGTGACTAATTCATTGAGTAACACACATGACATGTTCACTCCTAATATTAGTAGAACTGAATTGCAAGTGTAGGCACAGAGCGATGCAAGAGGCAGAATGCAAGACACTGCTCCAAGAGGATGGACCTCAGCACCATCCTTTCTGACTCACATCGCTTCCCCTCTGAGGGTGGGAGTTAATAATTTCCTGGGGACTTGCACCAGCAACAGAGAATGACACACATTATGACAGGCTGGTGTGCGGACCTGACTCCCTGGAGCTGGGGGAGCGTCACTGCTTTGCTCATCGTGCTATTGAGCTCCAGGGAAAAGCACAGCAAAGGGGCGTTCGGGCATTGCCTGTGCTCTCTATCACTGATGCAAAGAGCACACAAAGATGTAGGGCCTCCCTATTCCCCACTGCTCATCCCCTGCCACAAACGACCAATGCCAGGCAGGAACAGACAGAAACCTTCCACCAGTTGGAGTCACCAGGCAGGCAAAGAGAAGGGATGTGTTAATAATCTCATATCTCAGCAGAGATATGGCTCATGGGAACCAAGCTGGTCATCCCAGCTGCTGCACACTGGATTGGAGAGACCACTACAGGACTGATTGCTAACAAGAATCAGGGTTGGTTAAGGCAAGCCTCTCTATGGGAAAAAATAAGAATGAGCAGAGCTATAGACTGTAGAATCATAGAATTGGTATAAGGCTGAAAATGAGCTCTAAGATCATTGAGTCCAACCTTTCACCTAGCACCTCCATGTTTACTGCTAAGCCATGTCCCTAAGCGCCACATCCATATGTTTACAAACACTATCATGGATGGTGATTCCACCACTTCCTCAGTCTGTTCCAGTGCTTCATCCTTTCAGTGAATACTTTTTTCCTAATATTGAATCTAAACCTGCCCTGGAACAACTTGAGGTCAATTCTGGAACCTTAGAAGACTATCTGCACTCTATCTCTTACAAAGCATTGAGCACACTGTTAGCTTTTCCCAGAGTCAAATAAGGACAAAAACATTTTGTTGAAGTAATTTCCTATCAATTTTGAGAACTGCACAGGAACAAAATCTTCATATTTTTCTCTATTGTTCTTTGGTATGTAGTCAACCCAGACTCTTCCTGAGCCAAACTCCATGGGCTGTTTTTGGGTTTTAAGTCATTCACCACACTAACCAATTCTTGGTGAAAGCAACAGGACTATTGTCTGAGTAAAAATTCTAAATCTTGTACAAATTTCAGGATTTAGCCCTGTTAATGTCCTCCCTGACTTTTCTTCCAAAATGAAACAGCTTCTTGCTTCATCTGGGACCTGGACTTTGAAAACCAAGTAGGTTAGACAGAGTGAAAACACATGATGAAGAGTTAGCTGGTGGTAACTGCTTCATAAAAAACGAACTCGTTTACAATTTTTAATTACAGAAATGACATTTCGATTGCACAGCATTTTCTGCTCTTTCAGTTTTCATTAAAGAATGAAAATAGCTTGGTATGGCTTGGCCGATGAATGATTATATGAACACTAGGAAATCTAATTCAAAATCTCTCAGACAAATGAAGTGTATTTTTTCCTATTTCTAACATTATTTTCTTTGCTTGAAAGGTACAGAGTAGCTCAAAGACTGATGAAACTGTATGTGGACTAATCCAGCAGTCAATTCAGACACTAACATTCCCTCCCTAAAAGAGCAATTGATGCTTTACTTTAAAAGAATCAGGGCTTTGCCTACACAAAAGCTGCTTTCCTTCAACTTGCACAACACTAAAGGAAGTAAGGACCACAGATACCTTGCATTCTATTTGAAAATAGTAGCCCACACTATCCCCCTGTTCTTGTAAAGGGAAAAATACCCTGAAACTGCACAAGGAGGGAGGACAGCAAGTGATAATCAGAGTGGTCTTTCCCTTTCAGACACTTAGAGGTCATGAAGAAGACAGGGTGAAAGGGCTGTAATCTTGCAAAACAGTCTTCCTCCTGCTCTGCTGAGATTTCATGTGTAAGAGAATATTTGACGGGGCAGTAGTAACTTCAGTAGTAAATTATTTTTGTGCAGAGAAAAACCCCATAACACATACTTTGTATAGCTCCTGCTGAATGACAGAACCACACTGTTTCAAGCAACCAGAGAATATTTAGATTTGCAAAGTAGCTCCATATTAGGCATTCAACAGCAGAGAGGGTGGATTAGGACTACTTTCATCCCTAGGGCAACTCCGGACACATTTCAAGAAGTTATGCTTGTAGCAAATGTGTCCTTTCCTCTGAATTCCAGTGATTTTTTGGGTTGCTTTTGCTAAAATCATAGTATACACCAGCAAAAAAACGCAAAAAACCAAAAACAACCTAGTGAAAAAAACTTGTTGTAGTTGTTTTTGCCAGAACCAATTCGCTAGTTTTCAAGTGACAATATCACTGAAAGCTTTCAGACATTGTAATTTAAAGGAATTATAAATTTGGAAATTGCATTAAATGTTTAATTGACATAAGTGGAGTTTGCATGTGCTACTTTTAAAATAATGGTAGAAAATAATACCAAGGTCTTCTATGGAAAGACAATTTTTATTGATGCCCCTAGAAAAGAGAGGTCAGACGCTCACAAAGAACTCTGCCTGGAGTATGAAAGGATCCAGTGCTTTCTTGTGCAGCTCCTCTTCAGTCAGGATGTTCGATGCTGTCTGGAGATATTCTCGGGCTGACTGTTCCCGTGGAGACATGACATAGCCAAAGCCTTGCTCAGAGCAGCCTGGGGTGCACATATCCAGTGTGAGTGAAACATTTGAACCTCTCCTGCAAAACAGAGCAGTCAAAGTTTGCTTACAACAGACCCATCACTGCCAGCAATGACAGATGAACAATTTAGGAAACCAGCCACCTGGTTCTGATGGGGACATTTTGGTCAATACCTATTAGAAAATGGGTGATGCTTCTTGTGTGGACAAGAGAAGAAGATGATTTTGTACACTGAAACATCTCGGGATAAACGACCAGTACAACTTTATTAAAGACATGAAAAGCCAACCACTGCAGTGAATAATTTTTCTATCTGAAAAATGTTTTTTCCACAAGTGTCCATCCTAAGAAGGGTAAAATGGAGGTCCCAACACTAACAGTTACATTATAAACAGAGACACTGTTGAGTGTGGAATTTTTAGTGTTAGTTAGCCACACAACAAACCAAAGAAGTCAAAATGCCTACTATGAATAAAGTTTTAAAGCACTTCTGAGCTTCTGTTAGTCTCACATATGACAGACAAAAGTAAGATTCAAAAGCTGTCAGCGAATCTATATTTAAATGTCTTTAACATAATAATAAAGCCACACAATATGATGATTACTAGGTAAAGGTTCTATACATCCACACAGTAAATCTATTTTTGATGAATCTCAACTCGAAAAATTTAGTTAAAAGGTATGTGCAGGAGCTATTAAAAACCATGTAAGCACACAGGCATGACCAGCTTACAGAGAGGACAGAAATCAACACTTGGATCAGAGCCCTTTCCTGGACTCTGGAGTTTGTCCAAAAGAATTTGCAGCCAGCTCCTGCTATGATTCATAGCCATAGGGAAATGCCACTAGTGTCAGACATGGAATCTTTAGTGATACCTTCCAGAGGATTTCACCTTACCCTCCTGTGTGCTATTAAACAGCTACCACATTTCTCTGCAAAACAGATGCATTTTACAAGGATTATTTTTGGTTCTTTCAAGGTAGAACAGGCTACCTACATTAATAGTTCTTCAGTGGAGGAAATGAGATTATTTCTTCTTCAGCAACATTCAGTGGTGCTTGTATTTAGCTGCTGACCACCCTTATAATTGTAGAGGTGGTTAAAGAATGAGAGGAAAGTAAGAGAAGAGCAGAATAGATGCCTAAGAGGCGCAGGTCGGTAATTTAACACACCACCAAACAAAGGAAAAGTGATCAATGTGTAATGTAAGTTAAGTTTGTCAGGGCAAGGTCAAACCTGAAATGATGTCTATCTTCTCAAGGACACATGTTTGTTGAAAACAAGTTTATATCTTAACTGTTGTACCTAGTTTGAGAACTTCAAGCAATTGCTTTCATTCTCCCACTTATAGTTGTTTGACAGGTTTTTCATTGCAATGCATTACTTTAACCAATTGATTTTTCCCCAAGTGATACTCCCCAATTCTCTTGATACAGTGAGTATCTTTCATATAGGCTAGCAGACACCTGCAGAGAAATGTCACATCTTTCAAGTGACAGAAATTGAATGAAATCAGAGATGGTGAAGAATACAAATGACTCGCGTATTTCAAGCCCAATCTCGCCTGCAATGAAAAACCCACAAAGCAGCAGCTTCAGGGACAAGCCCCAGAGATTACTGTGATCTCATATAAAGGTAGAATAAACTAATAAAAGGTGTAAGATTTTAGGAATATGTTATAAAAAAATATAAAGCAAGAAAAAACATTCTAAACCACAAGAGTGCAAATTGAAAGCCTCTCCTGTAACACTCCTTTTTACTGTGTCCCGAAGAGATTTGGAAAATCAGCATTATATTCTTAAAATCTAAGTTCTGTCGTTTGTTTTAAGCTTTAGAGATGAGAATTAACTATGGTTAGCACTCCAATTAAGCTTGAAAGCTGAGAAATAAAGAAAGGTCATACTTTGCTATGCTGGGCCCTTCAGTAACTTCCTTCTTATTCATAACATTGTCACTTTTGCAGAATTTCTTCACAGAAATTCTATCATCAAGACCTTTGTTCTATTTCACTAAGACAACTGAAAGGACACAAAATTGAGAAAGATTTTCCTTTAATCTTGGAACTGTCCTTTCCCAGCTGAGAACCTCTCTGAGAAGCTCCTGACTTACCTGAGAATATCCCCTTTTCAAGCTACCCTTATGGTTCAAGTGGCGAACACCAGCTCACCCCAGAGGTTCATTACTAGGTTCATTTGAATCAAATTCATTTACTTCTGGATTAACTGATTTATATAAGGAATACCAAAGACTATCACTTTTTCTATGGTTTGGTTTAGGAGAAAAGACTAGTCCTCCAGTATGAGTGACAGGGGGAAAAAAAAAAAAAAAGAATCAACAAGACCCATCTCTTTCAGAGGTAAAAGTTTTCACTGCTCTATAGAGGATTTCATGCAATGCAGTTGGTGTTTTGATGAATGGAGAGAGACTGATCAAACACAAATAGATGTATTCAATGGAAGGAAATGATGCTTTAGAACAGCACTTGTTGACAGCTGTCTAGAAAATGTGTGCTGTTCAGCTAGCATGCTTGTATTTATGACTGGACTGAAAACAGGAAAGGAAATAAAGCAGGTGCTTGACTTAACAACCACATTTGAAAGTGACATTCACAAAGGCAATAAAGTTTCCTACTAGGCACAGAGCTCCTAAACCCAGAAAATCTGGGAGCAGACTCTTCTCTATTAGTCACATCTACCCTACCTTTCTTGCAAGCCCACGGATTTAACTGTCAGAGTAGCTGGGTCTGTCTCCGCTTTAATATCCATTACGCAGTCAAAGACTGGAGTCTCTGGCACGGGATCCATATCTAGGAAGTCATCCTCATTTTTATCCTCTGTCCACTCTGAGTACGTGAAGGAAGGCTGCCGGCTCACAGACTGGCGTCTGTCCTCTTGCAGCAGAAAGGGGGGGTCTGGTCGGGCTCTGAGGAGGTGCCAGAACTGGAGGAAACAAACATTTTAAAAAGTTTCTGCTTGTAGGCAGCCCTTCCATACAGCCTAGGGCACAGGTCTTTAGGGCAGCATCCCAGCTGTCTGTATTAGAATTGGAGAGTACTGAAGAGAATAGGAATGTTCCATGCAGGCGTGGCTTTGTGGTGCGTGTTACAAGGATTCACATCTACGCATTCAAACCTGCTTTCAGCCACAGAGGTTTCCACAGAGCTAGTTAGGCTTAACTCAGGGATACAGTGGAAGTGGAATGTGCTTGTGACTATCATATGCAAGCCAACGTGATACCGCTGTCCTTTTGTTCAGTTTCTTATCCTTCTCAGGCTTGTTTACAAAACAAAAATCCACGATAGTATTCTACAAATCACACCTCTCCCGATTTAATGGCTTTCTATTTGAAATTTACATATAGCTGTCTTAAGTTAATAGAATTGAGCTGGACATCTTTAATAACCAGGCACTGTATCCCAAATTTTTGCATAAACCCATCATTTATTGAAGAGGCCTCAATTTTGATGTACCTGATCCTGGGGCCCAGAATGCCCATATCAGTTTTTGACCAGGGTCAAAGACATGGTTATAATTTAATTATCTGATTTGAATATGGTATAAACATTAAATAATGAAACCTGTGAAGTTCTAAGATATAAGTGCAATATGGAAGTTTATATTACAAATTAACAGAAGGTTTGAAATTGCATTAATCTGAAAAATTTCTGCATCCTATCAGTTTGCTGTGATAGAATAGGTGATTTGGAAATCAAATCTGTAGACTTCAAATCCTCCACACAGATTTCAGTTAAAAATTTCAAACCCACCTCTGAATTCCAGGATCTGTAACCCTAGACCAACTTCATCCATCTAACATAGAACTAGGAGTTAGTATCACTCAGGAAAATGCCATCCAAACTATACTGCATTGTCATGCATCCTTTTGAGACTAAGAACAGGTCTCATTTTCCAAAAGCCTCTTTTGTCCTTTTCTTAGATGATCAGTTGAATTTTTAAAAGTGCCACTAAAAAAGGTCAAATTTTTCTCTTCCTAGGCTACTAAAGCACATTAGGATATCATGCAGGACAGTGTTAATTTCAACATTGGGAAAGAAAGGCTTGGTCATAAAGGTGTTCCTCAAAGGAGAAGATCCTTTCAAGGTCTCTTCTAGGCAGCACTTGAAATCAATTTTGAGTAGAGAGGGAGAGAAATATCACTCAGCTGAGACAAAGGGGAAAATAAATTTTCTTCATGCAATAACCTGTTGTCCAGCAAGCTGGGATTGCAGAAACTCTGCCTGGTTCAATCACCATTTTCAATGCTCTGCCAATGACTGTTACATCTTATTCCACAAATAACTGACAAAAGCAGATATTTCCAAATTTGTAAACTGCAAAGCACCAGGACCTCTGAGAGGAAGGTGACAGGTAGGCAGGAAGGGACAAAGCTCATGTGCACTCTCTAAACAGTCTCTCCTTCCTAATGTCCATGCTAGAGAGAACATACTGGGCAAGATGGACCATTGCTCAGAACTTACAGGACACTTATAATTGGCTGCCTAGTGACTTATCCAGACATTTGTGCCACTACTCTAGCTAGAAAATTCTTAGCACAGACCACAGGAATACAAAACAGTGCAAATTCACCAACATGGAAACTGTTAGAAAATGTTTTTCTATACACAAATTTTAACCAACACAAATACAGGCCAAGTCGTCTTTAATCTATAGTGGTGCTCATGCTCACTTGCAAGGAGTTCACGTGCAAAGAGAGATCAGAATTTTTGACCACGGAGAGCTTTCACTCACTTTACCTTCTGTGCTAAGAATGGGTCACCAAGAAATAACTGAATATGCAAAAAATCACACCCCTGCTACTCAGATTTTCAGCCCAGAATGTTTTGCTGCAAATTTATCTGGAACTCATAACATTCTTGACAATTCTTAGGTGTCTTTTTTTTCTTTAATATTTGCAATTACAGAATTACCGAAAGTTTATTTTTGAGGACAAATTTAATCTGGATAAGGTACAGCAGCATCAAAAACCCAGAAAACTGCGTAAACTTCGCTAACTTCCTTGCCTACATCAATGATCACAATAATGGAGGCATTAACTATAATCACTTGGCCTTGTGAACAGTTTTTAGAAAGTCCATTTTCCTGACACATTAAACAGAAGATTTTGCCACTGTGCTGCCTCTGAGTGGATTTAACCATGACATATAATATGAAATTACTTCCTAGCAGGGAGTGTGGCTAGCAAATCAAAGGAAGTATTCCCCTCTCCTTGGCACTGATGGAGCTGCACTTTGAAAATACTGTCTACAAATTTAGTTCCCCCAGTTTAAGACAGATATGGAAAAATTGGAGTGGTCCCAGTAGAGGATTTCAAAGCAGGTCAAGGGTCTAGAGTACATGAAAAAGGTGGAGAGAATTGAACTTGTTCAGCCTGGCAAAGAGGAGGCTGCAGTGATCTAATAGTGGCCTGCAACTACTTGAAGGGCAGCTCCAGAGATGCAGCCAGACACTTCTTGGTAATGTCAGCTGATACTACAAGGGACAATGGCCACAAGCCTGCAGAAATTCAGTCCAGACATTTTTATATTTGTGAAATTCAGATGAGACACTAAGAAACATCTCTTCCCCAAAAGTGCCACGTGGTTGTGGCACAGGCACAGAGAGATATGATAAACCTTCCTTCCGTGAAGGTTTTCAAAACCTGTGTGGAAAAATTCATGGCTGACTTTACTGAGTGTTGGCAACAGCCCTGCTCCAAGCAGGATATTAGATTAGCAATCTCTGCCCACCTACAGTCCCATGATTCTGGGATGCATTTCATTATGCTGTGCATCACTCAAACAGCATGTGCAGAGCACTGCTTCAACTTCCTGAGCTAACTGGAGTGCACCTCTGGAAGGACAGGAGGTGATGCTCTGCCTGCATGTTCAGTAGCTTCATTCCCCCTGTAAGAGAACAATGCAGAGGGGTTTGAAAAGCCACATTCAGTCAGAGCTTCCTGACAAGGCAGAGTTCTCCATAGCTCTCCCATCTACCACACAACTTTGCACCAGTTACACAATCCATGGAGAAACACAACACACTGCTGCTCCCCAGCAGCTGACAGCTAACTACATTAATTGTAGTCACACCGCTTAAGCTTGTTATGCAGCTGGGGCCTTGGCCTACATCTAACAGGACTTCACATTCAGAAGAACAGTGGCACTCTGGAACAGCTCCTTCTGCCATTGAAATCAATAGATGATGGTCCTGTTAATGGACCACATCCCTTCTACTTCAGTGCAAATAGTTTGCCCATCTGTGGATGGAAAAAATAAAAAACATTTTTATATACCTTTCTACTTCAGTGCAATCCCCAACTCATCAAGAACTTGAGTAACATAAAGCAAGCAGATGATTATATAGAAAGACCCCCAAAAATGATGCTTTACAATCCACTTGGGCATAATACCAACAACTTTGGATGAATTACACATCTATAAAAACTCACTGAAAAAGGGCATGAATATAGTTTTGTACTGTACCATAACTTACCAGAGATCCTACAAATAGAAGTCCTAGAGAAGCCAAAGACAGTAAAATGTATGATACCACAACGCTTCCAACTGTAGTCAAGCTCTGTGGAACAACAGAATAGACAATGATTCATGAAGCATTTAGGGCACATTACAGTGTCTGCATGCATGTTCTTGGCCAACTGTGCATTATCTCCCATGAAGATTTACTGATATCACACTCATCTGTGGAAAAGCTGCCATCACAATCAAAAAAAGAAGCCAGGCTTTGGAGAAGATGGAAACTGAAACCATCTCTAAGCCCCAGCACCCTAGGAGGTCTAAACCCTAGACTTCACTGTGAAGGCAAACAGGAGTTCTGCTTCCTACCCTCACACTTTGCCAAAGTGGAGATCTGAACCCACAGTTCAATTTTGCAGACTGAACCAGCACATTATTGCTTCAGTCAGTGTGATTTTATACTGTGGCAGAGGGCTGTAAACAAAGTTTAATACTGTTCCTAGGTTTGGGGATCCTTAAATGGAATCTAGCCACAGAGGAGTTTTCTGTGTTTTCTACACATTCAGTGAAACACCATCAGTTTAACTCACACCACTGGCAGTGGAATTAATTCTGTTGTCTTAGTCATTTTATAGTAGTCTATAGTTCAGTCTGTTCTCTGTAGTAGGTACAAAATTCAGTTCTAATGGGCTTCAGTAAGCAAGGAATTTTACTCTTTTTCTCCTACTAGAAAAGCTAATGAGAAATTTGGAGTAAAGAGCTTCCTTTTGCTTATCTTAACATCAGAAGATTTCTTTGCCTATACTGTTTTCAAGTGTAAATTTGCACAATAAATAAAAGTCCTCAAACACATGCATGAACATCTGCATAGAATCATACTTGGGGTGTTCTTGTGATGCATTCTAGGAATCAGTTTCCTCCGTGAAGGACAATTATTGTAAGTCAAAATTATACAAATCAGTGATTTTCTGGTGGGAATAACAAATTGTTAATCATTGAGCCACTGCAAATAAGACATAGGCAACAGTCTGTGAAGAGCTCTGTGCATAATAAAGCCAAGTGCAAAAGGGCAAAGAAAAAGTGCTTCTTTCAAAAAAAACCCCAAAAGAGCAGGTGATATGCAGCTCATGAACACTGAGAAAAAAGAAAACAGTCTCCACTGTCCTTCAACCACAAGAGGTACTGAATCAGATTTTCTATTAGTACTGCAAAGCCTCTGCCTACAAGATTATGTACAATGGAGCTAAGCATTTTGGTAGCAAACATATTTAATCAGATTTTTTAAAGTAGCTGCTCACCACTTAATTAAGGTTCTGTCCACACTAGAAAAATCTGCACTGGGTATAATTACCAATAATTTATCAGATGAATCATTCTGGTATACATGTCATCATGTCATGATGAGAAGCTAAGCAATTTTACTGGGGTAGCTCTGTAGATATAATGAATCTGTGCACCTAGTACACTTGAAATACACTTCCTGCACACAGATATGTTCCAAACACTCAACAAAAGTATATTTTTGAGACTATGGTGTGATTTGCTCCTTTTATATAGGTTGATCCATTCTTCCAGAATTTAAGCTTCTATTCATCCTAAGAAATGAATTTCCAGCTCTCCCTTTTACTGTTGGTTAAAGCTTAATGAGATGACTTCTTATTTCTTTGTTTCATTTGCAATAATTTGTAAATAATAAAAAATCTGCAATACTAACCTAACATCATAGCCAAAATTTCAGCCCAGTATCTCAAAACATTCTTCTGCTTTCAGAAAACTATTCTGCCATTTCAGGGCGTACACATGAAATACACTTATCAGAAGAGATATTAGAAGCATCACCCAAGGCTACTGACATCAACTATATAACCAGAGAGGAGCACAGGGACTTACCTCGCCTTGATCTGAAAAAACCTGTTTGAATGGGGTAAGCAAGTAAGAGAGCAAGTCGAAGGCATTCTGAGCTGCTGGGATGGTCCCGTAAGTGCTGTACCACAGCATCATGCAGAGAAGCTGTGCAATCAGTCAGAAAAGACATAATTAGCATCTCTCATTATACACGCATTCATTTTCATTTCAAGACTGCATAATTAACTAATTTAGTTAGCATTGATTTCATGTTGATTACCACTTTTGCTTTAAGAAGTCAGGTATTTTCTAGGCTGTAGCTTAACAGGAATAAAAAGACTGAAGGCTCCAAGCTCAGTTACTATTAACTAGATATGCATCACTGAGTTACAAAGGCTCCCTCCGACCCTCACTAGAAAAAGGGCTGCCCAGAAACAGCAAGTAGAGCAACACTGAAAGAGCAACAGATTCCTCTGCTTCTGAACTTTCAGGATTACTACTTTTAGATCAAAATTAGTAATTCCATGAATTTAGGATGCTATTAAAAGACTCTTAAGGCCTCTCTCAAAGCTCTCACAAATAGCCATGTTCCACATAGGAATCACTATAAATACACACACACACAAACATACACACATGGAAACTTTTCATTTGAACCACTTAAGGGTGAACATGCCACAGATAACATAAACTACAAAAGCAGTGGCTTTATATTTAACACACTCACAGAGGGGTACAACCTCATCCCCAACTGTGAAGGGCACACCCCAGCTTTTAAGAATACACCTCCCACTCCACTTTTTAACAACATGGGTCTTTATCCCCATATATACCAGTAACAGAAAATTGATTTGGTGGGATAGTAATCATTTGGCAAAGGAGGCATTTACAGAGAGGCAGGAAACAGGATGGGATTCTGGGACACTAAGAGGCAAGGGCTGTTCTCATGGCAAAGCCGTGAGAGGTGGCTGCAGAAATAAGGACTGCACCTACTTCTCGTTCACTGCTACATGTACAGTAAATGAGGAAACCTCCCAAGCCAGCACAGCCTAAAGGAAGGGTTCCAGCATTCCAAACCTATGGCAAGCTGCCTTACCAGTATCTGTGAGAGGACAAACAGGTACATGCTGTCTCCAGGTATTAATCCATTCCACCGGGGAGGCCAACTGAGCACTGCTGTTTTCTGGGAGGCTTTCAGGGACTGCTCCTTCATGTTCAGCTCTCCTTGCCGTCCTTCAGCTTCATCCACTGACTCCATAACAGCCGGACGGGAACAACCTTCACGTGAAGACGACACGTGCAGGGGATGAATGGGATGTGGCCCTGCAGGCACCGCGGAGGCTTCGGGGCTATTGTTTTCCTGGAGACGATGGTTACCTCTCAGTTCCGCCTCAGCAAGTGCAGCTCAGGATTGTGAGCGTCACACTCTATTAGTGCAGCTTTATTCACCTGCCTTCATCAGAAAAAAGTGAGTGTGGGCGGATAAATTATTTTCCCTCTCCTTCCGGAGGTGTAGATTCTGGGCTTTGTTATTAACAAATTCTCATTTACATTGCTGCACTTTTTAATTTTTACTTTTTCAAAGAAGCTATCTGTGCTATCGCCTAGCTACACACTTCCCAGCTACATGATGGCCCTTCCTGTCTCATTTTCTCCATTTCTTTTATTTGTCTGCTTTGTCTAATCCGATTATAAATTTCTGAGGTAGAGACTGTTTCTTGTTATGTGTCTGAATAGTGCTTGGGGACACTGGGTTTTGACTGAGTGTCCTAAGGCACTAATTTATTATTAGTTTATTCCAATAACCTACTTCTTGGATGAATTCATACTCAAGACCTATTTAGTAATATTGCAAAGCTGCACTCTTCACTGGAAATAACCACTGGTGTTACTGAGAGTATTCCCTCAGTAATAGTATTTTGAATAGAGTCACTGTAGACATAAAATAATTTACAAGTGAGGAGTGAAAGATCAGAACCATTGAGTGTGAGTATTACTGACTTATATCTTTGTACATGAGGAATGCCCCAAAGCTGCCCTGTGTACAGCACTGTAGACTTAAGCCTAAACCAGCCTCCTGTGTCCCAGAGAAAAGCCACACCATTGGTCCTTACATGGTTTGTTGAAGTCAGGTTTCCATAAAACATTCCTCTCAGCAAACATTTCTCTAAATGTCTCACAATAGTAACTCTTAAGCACCCATTAACTAGCCACAGCTCCAATCAGGCAAATGAAATATATCTTTGTATCAGCTGATGGTCTGCCCATACTAAGAATTCATTTTTAATGCTGTTTTTATCTAATGATAGATATCACAGCAAGTCTACCTCTCAGTCCTTAAAGTTGAAGAGTTTCAAGCTTCCAAACTGCTTCATATCTCACTAGATTTGAACAAGAATCGAGAGGAAAATACTTGTTAATGATTGCCAATTTTTTCCTGCTATTTTTGTGGGATGTTTATGTTCTGTGTTTTGGAACAGGAATTTTAAATTTAGCAGGGACAGAATCATCGTGTCAGAAACTATTTTTGTCATCTTTGCAGAGAGACATGCACCTGTGGCTGAGATCTAAAGCTTCAAAAATATCTATTTCTTACAGTTTATTATTGTTTGCTTCTAAAGTCTCTAACCTTCAATTTTCACTAAACATAGTTTAAGTTCAACTTTTCCTTTATGTGCATTAAATAATACACTTCTGTCACTAAGAATGATTAATGAACATATTTGCTGTTTTTCCAAGTTCCAATGATTTCCTGTCTTACATACTCCTCCCCAAATCTCAAAATAAAATATATACAGTACAAAAGTAAAACAGCATTGGAAAGACAACCAGACCAAGGAATGCAAGGAGCCAAGGAATGCAGATTTCACACTCAGCTTTCAGCTGGTTTTCATAATATTTCATATTTCAGAACACTTTTTTTTTACTGACCAAAGGTGCTGCCTTACGTAGCACATAAACAGCATATCTTTGCTTCATACTTGTAATAGTCTGAGATTCTACAAGGTCATTTCTGGTTGGAAACAAATCCTTGACTATAATACAAGGACGTGAAGGCCACTTAACTGCATCTTCTGGAACAAAGATGTCAAAGTTAGGGCACTGCTCTGTGTTGGTAACCATGGGGATCTGTGCCTCTCCACAGCCCAGAAGTCCAACTCCTGGAATTCCAGTGTTGTCTAGTAACACCTGTATAACTGTAGGGGTCACATTCTCTTTCTTACAACTGCCCTATATGAAGGACAATAGACCACTCTTATTTTCAATTATTTTCACTGCATAAGGTAGAGACCTGGCCTGTGGACCTGGGAGCCCAGGATTCCAGCTCTGCTGAATTGACACTGCTATCAAGAGGTATTTTCACTAGCATGACAGAAGGTAAAAGGTGTAAGAACTGAAATAATAGAGAATTGGCTGAATCCATGCATATAAATAAACAGATACATGTCTTGGATTTTGTGATAAATGTGATTCGTGCTAATTAAATTGCAACTATATTAGCAAAATTGTATTTAGATCAATAGAAGAAAATTGTTACAGAGTGAGGGGGGAGATGGGTGAGACAGGGCAAAGGACATCTTCCAGATGTTGGGAGTCAAAGAAAGATGTTGGAAGGGAATCGTAAAAGGACATAGGCCTGACAAGCAGCATCTAGAAATACAAAGCTTTGACCTTGAAATGGGCCAAAATGGGATGATTCCAAACATGGGACTCAATTAAAGTCTTGCTATGGAAAACATCTGCTCAGTCACACAGGGCGCCTGCACTACCTGCAGGTCACACCTCAGTCACTGAGGAAGACGATGAGCCTTCATTGGAAATAAGACCCTCAAAAGGATGAGAGACCCCGTAACCCATTAGTAGAGCATGCACTGTACACATAGTGGTGTAGATTTTAGGAATAGAAACTAGGAGGAGTTTTTTAGAAACTTCTGTAGCCTACAGTATATAAGTGGGATTGTTAGTCTGGATGCTTTGGTACGTGAGGAATGGCGAGCCCTCCCCAGTCAGTTTTGTTTATGCTTTATACGAACCTCAATTATACTAAATTACTTACTGCCAAATTTTGTATATTCTTAAATATATGCACTTTGATTGTATTCATCTCCAATACTTTAATTGTATACATTTATAATTGTTAGTATTAAAAATTTGCTGCTACATTTAATCTTGTTGCTTGATAAACTGGAAAAATAGAACATCATTCATAATAGATTTACAAAGAGAAAGTCTATAATTAACTGAAATCCACTCAAAAATTTTCCCCTAAAAATCACAAAAGATTTGATTCTAACAAATATAATGACACGCACCTCAGGTTCGGTATTGATTTAACTACGTTAGATTTAAACAATACTTCAATTAGCACTCACATGTCATCTTGTCAATCCTATATTCCTGTATTGTTTGCCCTAACAGGCCCAGGATTCTTTCAGTAGCAGATGAGATAATGAGTGAAACACCAGTGAAGCTTTCTTGTGTCAAGGTGAATGTGAAGGTCCTGAGAGAGCTGGCAAGGATGACTGCGTCCAGGAAAGAACTGAGCCTCTCCCCTGCTAGTGATTTGACTGACAGTGAAATGTAGCATCCATGTGATAAGCATCCTCATTTCCTCCATCACAGAGATCGAGATTCAAGTTCCATGAGTACTGCTGTGGCACAAGACTAGACTTGCTAGGGAAAAAAAACCAACCCTTTGGCAGAAGAATTAAAAGGTCTCTGACATCTGTAGCAGCCATATGGCTTGTGAAAGCAAGTTGAAATTTCAAAACAGCACCATAAACTTAAACTCATCCTTGCTGTTCAGGGAAAAACACTTTCTGGATCATGCCAGGGATCCATTCATCCAGTATTCTTTCTTTAAGCAGTGCTACCAAAACAAGCTGTCAAAAATACATGGCATAGCACTGCATGCTATCATATTATGGAATAATATATATAGGGAAACATCTTTCTTCACTCAGGAGGTAAAAGCTGGCTTCTGTAACTCTGGCAATGTCCATTTTAACCCCCCTGTATCTCTCTATATTTTTTTTTCTGATTATACATGTGGGTGCATAACAGGCAGAAGAATGAAAAAATACCTATATAACTCTCAGAAAAACGAGTGCTTAGAGTACTAGTCTTAGCTGAAACACTAAAAGGCACTGTAGCAATAATAAGCAAGTCAACAAAGCTTTACAGTAACAAACATGCCACGATCTCATCAAATCCTGCTGTGGGTGAGGCATTAGCAGCTTTGTAACTCAACTGATTCATATTCAAAGCCTTCAGAGAAAAACAACTCCTCAGAACCTCACAACCTGGCTGTATTTCCTAATGAAGTTAACATTTTAAAAGGAACTTGTGCACAGGTGCTAAGGCTCAAGGAATTGGCACAGCTCCATTGGCAGACTTAATTTAACAACGCATTTTTGAGAAAAAAATCTTGTTCCTCAAAAAAACTGTTTTTATAAAACAGAAAGAAAATTCACCCCAGCAATGAAAAGACAGTGCTCATACAGTTAGTAGACATTTATGTACATCCATCACACTGTCCCTGTGGGAATTATGCTTCTGGGTTGGATATGCTTCTGCGATCCAATTGGAAAATACAATTTTTGTTAATGGTGGATTCTACTTTCCAGACACAGAAGACAGGAGGGCAAAAGGGGCCTCACCTGTTCTGCCAAATCTCAAGCTGCAGCAGCCAACACACCACAGCAGCTGGCTGCATTGCCCCTAATTGTTTTAGGTACATTGAGATATATATCCCTCTGAACCTGTCCACATCTTCATGATGGCCATGTGTGATGAGAATTCGTAGGAATGGACTACAGAGTGGAAGCACAACAAAGTATGAGTCATGCCAGCAATACCTTACATCCATCAAGATTACCAGCATTTCAGACCAGAGTCATAAGTCCATTTATAAGTCCATTCAGATGTCCAAATGCAACTGCCTACTGAAATCTCTGCCTCTAATTTCCATCTAACTGCTAGGGAGAAGTGCTATTGATGAAAGAACAGTAGATGAAAGTACACTTTTGAGATGGGTCTCAGTCCACTGCTGACAAGAATTTTAACATGCACCTCAACTGCACACACAGGACACAGCCCTTGGCAGGCAGTTCACAGATCTGGTCAAGACCTTGTTAAATACACACATCATAAGATATCCTGACTGCATGCAAGCCCAGATACTGGAAAGACACATCAAAGCTGAATGAGCTGCCTCAGAGTGCACATGAACAAGAGGCAGCTTGTGCTGGAGGTTTAAAAGTCTGTCTATCCAAGGA